TACAATGCCATGGAATGGTAGTTTCTGCCCATAGCAGGATGTCTTTTTGAAGGCACTTTGCAAGTAATGAATATGGCGTGCAAGACCTTACAATTATTGTTCAAATGAATCTTGAACAATAACTCAGGAGATCGTTCCTAGCTATCCTATCGCAACTTTTTATCAGAGCTTTATGGGTTGCGTTAGTATGAAAGAAGCCTCCAATAGTATGATTGGTGAGCGCTATCATTCCTACATCAGCCAACAAAAAATACTTGTATTCAGAGTATTCTGTACATTAGGAGACTATCATCTCTTGGTAAACCCATCTAGTTTCAGTTTAAAGCAGGAAAGGTGCCAGGGTCGGAGTACGAGCTCCGTCATGGTTCAACTAAAACTCGCGTCGATCGAGATCCTCGAACTGGACGCATTCGAGTGCAGCAACAAAACGTGGGAAGGTAGCTTCAGTCTCAAAATTTGTATTCAATCTTCTTCCCATAATCTCTCCAAACTTGTTCTAGAGATGTTTCATCTATACTGATGTCGATTCTGACCATCTTCTTTGTTCTTTTGGCGGTTGCTTATATTGGAACTGCGAGACAAGAAGCTCTAACAGCAACTGCTCACACTATTTCTGGTACACCAATTTTATAGCTACAAGTCAAAATTGAAGAATTAGTATAGCTTTTTCAGGAGCAGTTCGTGACACTGTAGTGTTTCTTTACATGTATGCCATAGTGCCGAGCTTTTTTTTATTGGCAGGTTAGTTGTTAATTTGGGGAGGGTCGCAATTTGTATAACTTATTTTCCAGCGGTTGCAGTTGTGCTGTCTGTATATTTTGGGCACAAAAAATGGAAGCACCTGAAAGAACAAGAGGAAGCGGCATTTTATGATCTTGTGGATAAAATTCTAGGCAAGTTCTTCTTGTATGAAACCACTACAACTTGGAATCTGTCACTTTTGAAAATCTTACAGTCACACCATCGTGGTGGTACCTCCGGCTGACTCCGCCACGCTGGCGCTTTGCCATATTGTCTGTTGTTTGATTTCATTTCTGTTTACTTTAGTTCTACGGCGGAGAGAAAATCTGAAGATTCATGATCGTTTTTATGATCATTGCTTTTATATAAGCATTTCTCAAGTCTTTTTTAGCCACCGCCACAGTGAAGAAAGGGAAGCACGCGCAAACCAAACCGAGTCACGTTCGCATATCTTTGACACTTCAACTTCCTTCCCAGCGTTCCTTTTTGTGCCAT